GTCCTGAGCCACTTTCCTTGTCATGAGTTTTCATTTATGTTCTAAGTTATAATTAGAACCTATTATTAAGTCAGTGTTGATTATATTTATTGCTATTGTTTTTGTCTTTCTCAAAAAATAATTAAATTACCAAATAAATTATAAGGTGTTTTCTATATACATCAAATGTCTGATAGAAAAGCAAGTACATGTTTTGCTAAACTTTAAAAACAAAACCCAATTTTAAAACATAGACTAATCGATTATAACTCCTTTAACTTTAAAATAAGTTAAATTCTTATTAATGGTATTTATTCAAGTTTCTGATGCATGTAAAGAATAAATAAAGCTAATCGTATATCGTATATCTATTTACAGCCCCATTAATATTCACTATTCTTTTATAAAAACGTTACCACCCACACTTGGATTTTCTCCTGTGTCGCGAAGGCAACTTACAAACACAAATTGCACAAGGACACACATCCAGACCCGAAACAATTATTTGTAGGATATACAAATACTTGTTCCGTACGGGATTCATACCCGTGACCCCTGGCACAGCCACTCATTGCCAAGCCACTGCGCCACGGAGCCGTCGTCTAAAATAAAATAAATTCGTCCGCACATTGGCCCGAACCGTAGTAAACTAAACGACCATCCAACGTGTGGACGCCGTCACCAACTCTCGGCCAATATATTCGCCACTACATTCGCCACTGTGTTGGCCAACGTGTAGAGGCGACATTAGAGACATACAGTCAAATCAATGGAATGTTGGCGTTTAACCCGTTAACGGACTAAAAAAAGATAATATTTATGTGTTATTTTTTGAAGTTAAGTGTAAGTAAAATTCTTTCTCCACTTAGAAAGCTAAAAAAATGAACTGTTTTTCTTTTTTTTTTTTAAATAAATGTCGAAATCAAAAAACTAAAAAAATATAATGAAACAAAATACTGTTTTCCATATCTTAGCTGCTGAAGTCAGCGTTATTATTGTTCTATACACTGTATCTCTCAAAGTATTAACTCTTCTTCTCATCGTAGGCGTCAATAATAATTTTTGGCTCAATCATCATGATAACACTTTTCACATAAAAAAAGTTTAGTCTTCTACACTGTAAATTGAAGTGCTGATAAGGAAATTAAAAACGTAAATGTAGGCACTAAGTCCATCGTATGTATTTTTTAGTTTAAGGAATACATTAAAGAATATCTAAATAAAAATGTAGGAATAAATCACGTGGTTAAATTCTGTAGCTCTCTTATCCCTGAGTCTTGACATGTTCCCCATAGGGGGCTTCTTAATAAATGTAATCTTAATAAATGGAGTGACATGTAATTAGTTTAAGTGCTCGATACATTTTTGAGAAATTGTTTCAAAATATGATGTAACATTGTTAGTGATAAAAATTCAGAGAACAATCAGGCTTCACCATTGTTAAAGTTTTTTGCGATTGCCTGTAATGTATTTCTGGTTTAACAAATTAAGATTTAAATATTTAGTTTAACAATAGATTTTACTGATGATAAGGAAACTAATATGTGTAATTTTTGAATAGTAAAATTTGACATTGATTGAAGAAAAACATATTTTTATTGTCAGTATGGGAAAAGTCTAACAAATTTCAAAGACACCAAAACTGAGGCCTTGAATAAAATCCCCAACTTGCTTTTGAGTGACATGCCGCAATATAAAGAAGTAATTGAAATATTGCTCGAAGATATTCAACGAAGGAATCATTTATTGTTAATCGAGCAAGAAGCATCGCAAAATAAAAATATTTGCAGACTGTTAAAAATTTTGATTCGCCCTATGGAATATATACAAATGCACCACGATACATCAATATGGTATTTGACAAGCCAGCCAAATATCAGAGACAGAACTGTCATTTACGAGGATTCACCACTGGTCGGATCCGTTAAATATGGTCATGTGAATTTATGAATAGCTCTGGATAGTTAGTCTGGTAGTTTCATTAATGTGCACGAAGATTTTAGAATGGCAGTTGTGGCAAGCCGCACGGGATTTCTGTTTTTGCAGGAAGACTTGTCTGCTCTTTCAGGTAATTTTAATGTTATAATCACAAAAACATCCATTAACGAATAGGTACACTTACAGGTTTTATCATAATTGAAGTTGTAATTAGTAAGTAAATAGATGGTAGTCGTAACTCACACTACTCACTGCTACAGATCTTGCAGCATGTTAGCATTTTCGAGGACCAAGCTCTCACAAAATACCGGCAAATAGCAGAATAATATTATTTCTAATAACATGTGTCAAAAACCGGAGACCAAATAGCAGGTAAATAATATAGCTCACAAAAATTCATGTGATTTAGGTGGAAAATCTTCAGTGAAACATCTACAATGGAACAATAGGTTAATATATGGGTTTAATTTATTAATTACTCACTTTACGAAAGAGCGACCTTTAAGTATGCACTTGCAACGGATTATAGATTAACATATAGATTACCATATACTATAATCACACAATTGAAGTGTTCGTATATTATGATACATGGGACCGGGAAAGGGTTAAAATTTGAAGTAAGCGACCATGCTGAGCACTATACACATAATATATTTTATTTTTTATTCTATATATCGCCCCACTGAAATATATAATACTTTCTCTTGTGAAATGACTCATATAAAATATCCTCACAGAAACCTTCATTACAGTTATAAAAACTGGAGAGATAGACACAACCGTCGAAGCAGTTGGCTATAGCCCAGTGGTTACCACTGCCGTGATAGGTAGCTGTAGCAGTGGAACACATACAGCTACAGTAATAGCTTCAAGTTCAGCAAGCGCCATCGCTACAGCTATAACCTACGGCAGTGGTATCTCGACCGCTACAGCTGGCTTCCGGCTCATCAATTGCCGACGCCAGCAGCAGCATAATCATACGACAAAGGTATCGCCACTGCCACTGTTAGCGCTTCTCGTGCATCAATAGCAAAGGCTCGGGCAACCGACAGAGGTAATCAAGTCATAACCGATACAAAAAAGTTGTCATGAAAAACATAAACACTCACACCTGTCACCCAGAGGGGTAGGCAGAGACTACAGACTTCCATTTGGCATGATCCTGACACACCTCTCTCGCCTCCTTCACATCCATACACCTACGCATACATGCTCGTCGGTTAAGGGTACTCCTAATTTGGGTTTTCAATAAATCGCCAATTTGGTCGATAAATTTTCGCCTAGGACGTCCCTTTCCGACTCAGCCATTCACTTCTGCAACATAAATTTTCTTTGTCACTCTTTCCTCATTCATTCTTTCCACATGACCAAACCACCGAAGCATTCCTTTCTTAATCCTGGTCACAACATCATCTTGCAAACCACACTATTCTCTTATCACACAATTTCTCACCCTGTCATTCAGATTCAGCCCTAACATACTCCTTAACGACCGCATTTCTACTGCATTTATTCTACTCTCGTGCTTCTTCTGCCACACCCAACTTTCACTACCATACATTAAAGTAGGGACCAACACAGCATTGTGAATTGCCATACCTGCCTGTTTTGACACATTTTGACTCTTCACAATAGAGTGTAGGGCCCCATTTACTCTGTTTCCTCTTTGTCATGAATCTAGTAATCTATCAAATGTCTTTTATAGAATTTAAAACCTAGAATATTGTTGCACGCCACAGTTGATGGCACTAGCGCCATCTGGTCATCAAGTATCAGAAATAGGAGTATCAAGATCTTTCTAGAACTTTCCCAACAGTGCCATCTAGTATCGAATAGAAGAATTAAGCTTTCTAAAAAAGTCCACACTCGAACTTTCTGCACTTAGTCGGTCGGGACCGGTATTTGCTGGAACATTCTGAATGTTTCGGTGGAAAAGGCTTATTTAAAGCCGTTAAAAGCCGCGATCGGGGCAGTATTGAATTGGCGATACGAGCGAAGCTTTCGAATCGAAATAAAGTGAACTAAAGTGTTAAGTGTGATTAATTATTAGTGTGATTTACGTTTTAATTAGTGGTTAGTTTAATTAGTTGGTGTTCAGTTATTAAAGTGTCAATTTTGGTAATTCAATCGGCAGATTTTATTTTCACGAACCCTGAGCTCGTAACGATTGGTGTCAGAAGTGGGATAAAATCATGCCGATTTTGCCTAAAGATGAAATGGAGGGTGTCCGTACTCGAAATCAACGCCAGCAGGAGACGGACCAGAGACGATTTAGTGGTGCAACGCCGCAGACGTCGGAGGGCCAGCCGCCGGCCACGGAGGCTTTCCATCAGTAGTTCCTTAATTCTATTCTTATATCTATTTTTTGTACAACAATAAGTACTTTTATTTATTTAATTACTACATTGCATTTTACAATTTTGCAAGATCTTATCAATTGTGCATTTTGCAGGATTGGTGTTTTCTGTCATGTTGTGTCAGATTTTGTACTTCCTTCTTTATTTTTAAACACACTTTTTCCTAGCCAATAACATATATACATACTAAATTTATACATATTTATTGACTATTTCTTTTGCCAGTTTTCGTTTCATACTTAATTTTTCCTCTGTTTTGAGTTGCTGCTTGTGATTCATGTAAGTGTTTCTGTGCTGATATAATCGTGTATATTCAATATACATTCTGTATATCAGTTTGTGATCGTTTTGTCATGTATTACATGTTTGTGTGTGTCGTGTTTATGTTTCTGTGTGCTTTTGTGACGGTGTGTGCGTTTTGTGTAATTTTCTGAATGGGGATTATGCATAGGCCGTGTTTGCACGAACCAAGTAGTTCCACTTTTTCCGTACTGGGCAGTCAGCACTAAACGCATTATGGTCGGTCTTCCGCAATCCAGAGTGTGAGCAGTTGCAGCACTGCGGTTCATTTCCTGCTGTAAAATCTGCGCATTTCTCGCGCAGATGCGGTCCTTCACAGTGACTACATCTGTCCACATTCTCGGTGCAAAATTTCCGACCATGTCCGAACGCGAGGCACTTCGTGCATTGGATGAGCGGAGACTGGTCCTCGTCTCTGACCCTTTAAAGGTCCAGATAGAGGGCTCCAGCCTCCGTCATCCTCTGCCATACGTTAGGCTTCACCTGAAGAATGATGTGTACTGTCTTGGGATTTCTTGTGCGTTTTTTATATTTTATCACCATTTCCGTGTCCCCTTCAGGTAGGCCCACAAAAATGTCTTTGTTCTGAGCATAGAGCGCCTTGATTATGTCATCGTCTTCGCTTTCCACAAACACATCTTTCAAGATAACGAGAGGGTTTTTGTTTTTCATGGACGCTACTATCAGTCCATCTTCGCGAATCTCTATTATTTCCTGGAATTTCTTCATATCCTCTTCAGTGTCGTAACCTAATATAACCGTTTGGTACTTGGCCTTACGAATCCTGTTAATTTTGAGGCCAGTGCCTCTGGCATCGACCGCCCTTTTCACCCTGGCGAGCACCTCGTCTGCAGTCTCCAGACCACTTTCGTAGGTGAACACCATCGAGTGAAGTACAGGGCGGTGGACGGGTTTGGTTGCTGCGACGCTGGCATATGACTTAAGTACTGGGGCTATATTTAGTTCGCATGCCAGTCCTTTAGCGACCTCCGTGAGTTCCGGTTTGGCTGCGACGACATCTTCGGCAATACCACCGACCAGATTTTTAAAGAGAGCCTGCGTTCGACTCTCGACCTTCTCGGCCGTTTGGTCTATGGCAGCTCTGGTCTCGTCGATCCTGTCGATGATCTTGTCGATCATGTCGGAGCCTCGGTCGTTGTTACCATTATGGAGTCCTACTATGTCCATTTTCAGACTGTGCTCAATCTCGTTTAGTCTCTCGGTTAGTGTTTCTTCCACCTCTCCCAGTTTCTTGAGGATACCATCTTGCCCATCGGACGAACAGGTTTTTGTAGGTGTCCTTGTTTTTAGAACCTCTGCTTCGAGACTTTGAATGCGCCTACTGAGCTCGAAAATTGCTCGTATGCTTTTGTCTGACTGCGCCTTCAGGAAATGTTTAATGTCTCTCCTCATCTGAGGGTACCCTTGGACTTTCTAGGGTATATCCTCGAAAGTTTTCATTATCTCGTGGAGGAGCTGATCACTTGGTAATGCAGCGTAGTTCTGTTGCTGCTTTTTATATATGTCCATATTATCGAGTGATCTTCTTTTGGCGTCTGGTCTTTTGATTAAAGTCCTAGCAGCGTCCTGCGTTGCTGCGGTTGTGGTGACAGTGCTGGGGGTGGTGGGCTTTTTGGCAGCGCCAGAGGTCGTGGGTGTGCGATACATGTTAATTGTGTGAGTGTGTATGAGTGCGGTGTGTAGTGTAGGTTGTTGTAGGTGGATCGATGAAAGTTGTCCCTTTCTAAAATGTTTGTAAGACGCTGTAAAGGGGAGTCTGTGTCAAGTATAAATTAAAAACTAACCTATCCTACATATATGTTATTAAAAACTAACCTATCTTATATTAATGAGGGAGAGTCAAGCTCTTCCAAGTTATTTTTACCTTTACAAATGTGAAGGGGCTTGAGCTCAAGCACCTTTGAAGCCTTCAGGACCCGATACCCGTCAAAATTAAAAGTCAAAAAAAATTTCGACTCTACCCAGAGTCACTCCAAGTGATTACAGTGATAGATCTCTCCGAGCCCTTACGTTTGAACCCAAACACGACTGTCCCAGCCTTAGGGTTTCCGCAAGAACAGCAGTCCAAATTTCTGGTCGCCGTCCAAGATGGCCACCAGAATCCGGTTACAAGCGGTTTCTCCGTGACCACCCGTCCAAAACCTGCCATGCTTGGGGTCTTCCGACTGAGATCGACGAGCTCTATAACTTGATGAGGGTTGAAACTGAAAAAACTTTCAGGCCCTGAAAACTCCTGAAGGGCTACTAGCGGAATAGGGGAGGTGCTGCCTTTGTCCCCGGAGAAAACCAGAGCCTTCCACGACCTTCGGTTCGGATATTATCAGCGTCTGAAGTTTGGTTTGACACTTCAAGAACTGTCAGAATCAATCTTCGACCCCGGACAATTTTCCTTCCAGTGGTCGTAGAACGCCCGTGTTTGGGCCCAATTGGCTTATCCCAAACTCGCTCTATCGTTTCAGGTGCCCTCAAGGACCTGAAACTCTTTGGTACCAAAACGCTTGAAAAGTAGTGAGGCGGATGGAGACCGTCACCCTTAACTCCACTAAGAAAACCACAACTCGCTACGACTCCTAGATCGTAAGTTATGTCAATTTTAAATTTTTCAAAATGGCCGCCAATTCAGACCACAATAAGTAATTTTGGGCGTTTTAACCGATTTGGCCCATGTTTGGGCTCATTTAGAAGGTCTTGGTGTCAAGATTTATTTTAAGCCCCCTTTGAGTTAATTTTTAACAAAAATTTTGAAATTTTTTACAAAATGTTGATTTTTATGGCCAATTTTAGTTTTAAAATTCTACGAAAATTTCTGTACAATACTACAAGTATCCTTAATTTATACCTAGATATTATAACTTAATTATACCTATATTTTTATACCTAGAAACACGTTAAAATAGGTTAGCACGTGCTCAACGAATTAATTTAAAAAATCCTAATTAAAAAACTATTTACAATAAAAATCTGAAAAATTTTTTATGCCTTTCTTATAATAACCTTAACACTATTTAATAATAAAAGCTAGGGGTCTTCACTTTACATTTTAAAACATTTAATTTTGTAATTTTTACTAAATTTAAAAGTTCAATTATTCCGCAACCACGTAACTTATTAAAGTTCCGAAACTTGTTTCCGGCTCCTCTCCACGCTGGCTACCAGAATGCGACTCCAAAAATAGCCGCATGATTCTCCTTCTCAAAACACGTACCCACGTGGCACTTGTTTTTTTGCCTTTTTCCCTGAGACTGTGGCTCAGAAAATTTCCAAATTTTGCACCTATATAGGGGCCAGGAATAGCTTCAAGGCCGCACTTTAAAAAACTAGGGTTACCGCACTTAATCTCTCAGCGTTTCACTTTTAAGATTTACAATTTTTCAGAATTCACTCTTTTCACTGTAAAATTTTCACTTTCACTCCGATTTTCAAACAGTTTTCACGACTATAAGTCGCAAGTTATACGCGTCTTTTGATGTATAGAACTCAAAAATCGGATGCGAAAAACCTATTTCAACATCAACACAGAAACGTGGCGTTCGGATCGGCCGTTGACACCGAACTGGGTTAGGTTAGGTGTAGGTTAGGTTTTTTTTGTAGTTTTGCTGTTTTCCTCTAATATAGGGGGCCAGAGACATTGTCAGCTCGACATGGACTTTTAATACTAGTTTTTTATTTCCTTGTCCTTGCTATTGTATAGGGTGTAGAGGACTCCGGATTTTCGTTCGGGAGTCCTACTACTCTTAACCTAATGCATACAAAATCTGACATTTAATTTTTAAGTCTTTTTAAATATCTTTGTCACTTAATTAATTACTTAATTAAAAATTATCTTAAGGTACACCATTTGTTTTTGTTTGAGCACACTATTCTTAGATGATCATTATTACATTGAAAGCGGTTCTTTCTCTCTGAATATACTTTCTATATTCACAAGGAAGCCCCGAGTGGCTATCTTGCATTTGCAATTCTGGCCCTAAGTTTATTTTGATGAACTTAAACAATTAAATTTCAATTAATATTAAGATAATAAACAGCTTGTTGTATTTAATAGTTACAGTATAAAATTTGATTTAAAATTCCAAAAAAAATTATTATTTTTTAAATATATTATTTAATTTCGGTTATTTTTTACGACCCTATTGATTATTCCTTCGCAGAATTTAATAAACTTATTTCGAGTGATTTTACTACCCAACAATGTATATAATTTCGCTTCTCCTAGTCTTACTCCGGTTGACGTCTCAAAATCTTGCCTTTGTTTGCCGAACCTGAGGACATTCTAGAAGTACGTGCAGCACTGTCTCTTCAACTCCTGGCTCACAGACGCATGAAGGGTTCTCCTTGCATCGGAATCGGTACAGATACTCGGAGAAACCACCATGCCCGGTCATCGCTTGGATCATTACCGGAGACAGTGCCGTCACCCTAGTCACCTTATAGGCGTCTTTTACACTTGGGAGGAATTTCTTCGTGATCCGACCTGTTTCACTCTCTGCGTACCTTTGGTTCCATTTTTTTATGGATTCTTCCCGGGTGAGACGCTTTATGTAGGAGACCGGGCACAGGTCGTAATCCGGTTCACCTTTTTTCCGCAGCGTGGCGAGCTTAGCCAATTCGTCAGCTCGTTCATTCCTTGCCAGACCCGCATGGGCTTTTATCCAAAAAAGTTGAATGCTTTTTTGTTCCTCTACGATGTTTTTTATATTTTTGCGGGTCTTTACTGCTAGGGAATGTTGAGATTCGTGGTTTGCAATGGTCTCGAGAGCTGATCTCGAGTCACTGTAAACTCCAAAGCTTACTTCAGCGCTATTGAGGATTTGCTCAGTTGCCCTGTATACGGCCAGTAATTCTGCCTGGTACACGGTACAATAGTCCGACAGTTGATCCGACCTTTCCCTCTATTTTGCTCCCGTCGGTAAATATTCGAAGACTCTGTGTGTTATTGAATGTTGTTTCGTTCTCGTCTACCAGGCATATAAATTCCATATCCATATAAGATGCTGGGTGGGGCAGTTCCACAAGTTTCGCCCTTGTCTCCACCTCGCGGTCCCCCAGCACTGACTGGAGCTTTCCTCTCTTCGCTACAAAGAGGGATGCTGCTTCCTGGACTCTTAGGTCCAGAGGAAGCAGGCCTGCCAGTGCTAGAGCCGAGTGTAGAGACACGGTTCAATATGATTTAATAGTTTTCTGAGCGAATCCTCTTTGCACTGTGTTAAGAAGCTTTCGGATCCCAAGTTTGCTAACAGCTGGCGCCCACACGCTCGCCGCATACAGTAACACCGATTCCACAACTGCGACGTATATCCTCCTTACGATTTCTGGTTGAAGACCCCAACTGATTTTTGCAGCTCTCGATAATTGTGAGTAGAGCGCTGTGGCCTTCCTGCACACATTTCTAACGTGACTTTTAAATGTGAGCTTCCTGTCTACGATAAGACCAAGCACTTTGATCTCCTCCGTCACGCCAATGTCTATCCCGCCCATGCTCAGACGTGGTGAATCGTTTTATAACTTATTGGTTAATACCATAGCCTTGGTCTTTTGTGGCGCAAAGTTCAGTTTATTACGAATTCCCCACATCCGAACATGCTCGAGAGCGGCATTTACACGTCTCTGAATCTCGAGTGCCGTGTCCCCCGCAAAGAGCATGACGATATCGTCAGCAAAAGCCTGACACCGGTCACCCCTCGCCTCCAACTCCTTGAGAATCTAAA